AATAAAAAAAACTACTCCTTACATCAGGCGAATGACCATCTCTTAGTATAGTTGCTCAAATACTTAATGATAGTACTCAAAAAAAAAAGACCCTTTCATCATTTCTTGAAACACTGCCTGTTACAATGACATCTACTACTCAACACTATATATATGTTTAAGTCAAAATGAATAGGCCCTATCATACAAAGGTAAATCGGATAAGGCACACATTATGTAGAACATCAATTTGTACGTGGTAGTAACTTGACAGCTTGTACAATACCTTCCCAAGATGGCGGACCACTAGACACGTCACAGGCGCCGTCGCGCGGCATCTAGGATTAGATATCTAAGGGTAGACCTATACAATGATACAATTTTTTCACTCAAACTGACATTCATTGCAAATTCCGATTTCTTCTAAATATCTTTAATTTAAAAGAATAAAGAGTGAATACATTCGATCAAGCCATGTTCATTTTTTTCCTCTTTAAAACAATATTTTATGACCCAAGAGGATATTTCTCGCATCACGTCTGCAACAAATAATTCAGATAAACGTATTTTTTTAATTTGTAGTAGTAATGAACAAATTCATACTACTGCTTCTAATAAAAAGTGTGTTTGAACTTGCTAGTAAAACCAAGAATAACTTTTTAAATGAAACGTCCACCTTTAAGATGGGGTCAGATGTTTTATCAATACTTCAATATATTTTCAAAACGTGGAAAGTTTCGAGCAATAAAGAACATGTGTTGTAATGTCTCTTTTTCTAATTACATACTAGACATTTCTCATTTTCAGCAACTCTTATTTCCTCTAATTTTTCCGTCGTTGATATAGCAACAAGACGAAAGTGGAAAATAATTCTCTGATTGGTAGCTCGAAGTAGTGTCTTAAAAAACAGCTATATATATATTTAATTGTCTGAGGATGTAATTGTGTGTTGGTATCATTACAACTTCAAAACTTACATATGGCGTTCTACATTTTTGATAAGTTTTTCGCAAATCTTCTTTGTTTTTGGTACTTAGTCGGGATAATCTGACGTGTTATTAAAATAAGACACAATTAATTTAGAAGCATCTGCTCCGTAAACAATTTCGATCATGGAAAGCACACTATGAGAAAACTAGTGATGACCTCAAATATTAAATGTTTGACCTTTGTTATCGGCCTCATAAAAATCATCAAAAAATGAATATCGGTTATTCACAAAAGATATATATATATATCTGTCACTAAAATGTACTTCGCTAATGTCTTGGAAAACAGACCATTCTGTCAACATTTCTCTGTACACTGTAGGTGTCTGAGAACTTGCAGTAGCCAACTTCAAGGCCCAAATTGACGTAAAAAATTGATAAAAAAAAAAAAAAACAAAAAAAAAACTAAATTAATACCAAACCTTGTCTGAGATTCTTTTGCAAATAAGTGTGTACTTTCTCCCAATCTATTCGTTTACATAAACGTATATAGAGGTTTACTTAATACATAGTAACGCTTATAAATGAGGTTTCACCAAGTTCTCCTTGACCCGGATCGTTTTCAGAATGACCTAAAATGGACAGAAGGAGGGAAACACTTCCGAATGGATACTTCAAACCCCAATATGCCCATTGTTTTGCATAATTTGAATATGGGTGATACACTGCACCTGTTGTTTAGACAAGAGTGTGTATGTATGTGTGCATTTTAAAAAATGAATTTATGAATGTTGATAATGATGAATGGTGTGATGATGAGGAGGATGAAAACTGTATGTTCATGTTGTTTATGTAATGATAATGGTGATATTTTTATCATGTTCACTGATGATAATTTGGATGATGAGGAGGATGTTGATGATGAATGGGGACAACTTTAATGATCAATAAATATGATGCTATGTTATGATGTCTATGAATGGATGATGATGATGATGATGATGATGATAAATGGATGATAACCTGACTGTGAATGAATAATGAGTAATATTATGATGATGTTTGTCGATTACGAAGGTGAAAACTCTGGTCTGCGGTGACTGAAAGACTGAAAAAATGTAAGGGCTTAGGGTAAATGAGAGTAAGGGTGTGTGGATGTCTTTCTTTATTCTGTACCAGGTAAAAATTTCCAAAAAATAACAAATTACAAAAAATACATGCTGGTTTGAGCTGTACTTATTTTAAGTTTGTTAATATCGTCAATTGTACATTAATCCCTTAATTGGCAACAGTATTCCAGAAGTAGGAGTATATAATTGTTGGAATTCCGTTCTTTTGCATAATCTCCAATGAATGACGATTATTATTTCAAAGTAGCATAAAAAAATCAACTAATTGTCAAATGTAAACCTGGTACATGTTTTTTTTTCCTTTTTTTTTGGTTTACTAGTGTGTTAGTTAACAGTTATTCAGTTTTATTTACGCTACTTTAAAATAACAATCATCATGTTTCTTAAATAATATCGTGAATGATAAGCAACTAAGTGTCAAATAAGTGTACAACGATTAACACAATTTGGATACATTCATTTTTTTTTCAAATCAAGGTTTTCGTCACTCACTGCTATACTGTAGTAGTTCTACTTTGTCCTCCTAGATGACCTTGAACTATTCACTTTGTCTACTCCTAAAACAAATGTTCAGTCTCTGTGTGTACGATTTTGACAAAAGTGTCCCTCCACTGAGAAGTACGACCCTGTGGTTGTCACAGTCCCCTATAATTAGATTTTAATATCTTGCCATCAACACATCATTTGGGTTAGACCATTTATGACCTGTTTGTGGCACCTGTTTATATGTAGCGAGAATGTCACCTCTATAAGCCAAAATTTTCTGAAAGTCGGTATCCATGACAACAACATGATGATTTACATCATCGCAATCATTTTCATTATTGAAATCAATCACTGCGATATTGTGAGTTACTGCGCACTCCGAAATCCTATACTCCCTATTAGTTCCTCATCCCTGCGGCTAATGTACTGAGCACCATTTGACCTTGTGAGGTGAATTTGGAAATGTTTGGTCATCCCCAAAGTGACATGGTTACTGGTTCTTTTTTACACCTGAACACCTTGGAAACTTGTTGGTATTAAATCTATGTGTCAATCCTGCTATTACAAGTTCCATAATGTTGTTATCTAAGTAACATGTTCAAAGGTTCTGTGTTGTTGGGGACTGACTGATTTCAATTATTGTAGTGTTATGTCCGACTTTCTGTATTTTTCTATTTTTTTTTTTTTTTTTGTCCACCAGAATTTATGTCTCATTGTAGCCTCTAGTCCACTTACCGGTGCGAAATTTATTTTTTTTTGTTTCTGACAGTAATTTGTTACACTGCGTTCCCAGACACTTCTAACCGTCCAGTTGTCTGCCCTTGTTTGACTATTTAGGGTTGCCACTGCCATTTACAGCAAAGTTTGACGATGAAGATTTTTATCAGAATATTTCAACACTATTGAAACACAGACAAGTAATCACATTTTTTTTCATTCTTCGTGTTTTCTTTCTGCTGCCATATCAATGGATATTATGAGATTACTGAAAAAAATACAAATTTGCAGTGAAGAAATTGATTATGCCAAATGTCCATTTGGGCCAAGTTTATAGACGGTGTTGTTAACATACAACTTACCTGGCGATTGTTATCTGATGTACATGTCCATAGGTAGACATACCAGTGTGTTGCAGAAATTACTGTACTACATGTAGATATGTCTGTGTATTGGTTAATAAGACATACCTGTATTGTAGGTAGACATAAATGTACCTGTGTATTTGTTAATAAGACATACCTGTACTGTTGGTAGATATAAATGTACCTGTGTATTGGTTAATAAGACATACCTGTACTGTTGGTAGATATAAATGTACCTGTGTATTGGTTAATAAGACATACCTGTACTGTTGGTAGATATGAATGTACCTGTGTATTTGTTAATAAGACATACCTGTACTGTTGGTAGATAGAAATGTACCTCTGTCTTGGCTAATTAGACATAGTGTAGATATTGTGTGTGCAATCTCACCAGTAAGTGAAATAATTATGATTGTCACTCAAATGCATCTTGTTATATTTTACCTTGCTCATTTCCATTGATATCCCTATTTCTGTTTCTTTTTATTACAGTTAGGATATAATTTGCAAGTATTTCATTGGCTGACAACATATTTCTTATCTTTATGGTGACAGACAACCTTCTCTGCCTTCTAACCTTTCCTGATTGGTAGACACTGCTGGTGGACTTTCCTCCCGGAGGTTTACCATGACATAACGGTACATTTCAGTAAAATTTCATGTGCTTGATAAAACACAGATATAATGAGTTCCAGTGTAAATGCCTCCCAATTGGGTTTATGACATTTCTTTCCACAGATCTTGATTTTCCTCTGTCTCCTCCTCAGCTTCAACAACTGGGACTTTTATCATAATTGAAGAGTCATTCCAGGAAAAACAGTTGTAAGATATATTTTAAATTAATTTTAACTCTGATGTACGTAGAAAGGTGCTATTATCGTCTGTCTTGTACAATCCAATTCAGTAATCCACCTATATTCAACAACGTTGCTTACATTTAAAAAATTTAGGATTGAAATAAATCATTACACAGTATATCACTCTATTGGAGACAGGTTAATTGAGCATGTATGTTCATATTAAACTTGCTTTAATATTATGACTTTATCATGTTAATCATGAATCCATTTAATTTATAAATCATGAAGGGATTGACCATAAATTAAAAGAGAATATATGAAAGAAATCAGCTGACTCTATTGGTATTGTAGTAAAATACCTGTCCTTTCATTTTGATGTTGTCTCAAATTGCACCAATATCTTTCTTTGGTGATTGTGAAATTAATGTAAAATTTATGCCTACATTACTGCTCACTGGTATGTCAGTAAAATTTCAACACTAATTCAAAGACTGAAAACTATATTGGTGGTCCTATACATTGTAGCTTTGCATTCAAATCCCACAAGCACTGCACAACACAAAGTGAACTAACAACAATGAAAAAGAACAAATCTTGATATTTGTAATCATTTTTAATATATAATTGGTATTTTGTGTATGCGAAAGTCCATAATGAAATATAAATTTCATTGCTGTTACTGAAAAATAAGGTAAACATGCATATACAATGAACTTAACATGTTCAGTATCACCAGACTGAAATCTGTTGTCAGAGTTATCTCCCATGTGCCACCATCAGCCATTGGACAAATGAACTGATATACCTGGTATACATGAGTACAAGGTCATTTCATCTGACACAATCATATTCATCAGACGAGATTCATTTTAAATCACGAAAACAAAACCATCCGTCGAAACCAATTACCACATCCATGACATGTAATGAAATCGGTCTCGTTTGGTCATAAAAGGCATCACAAGATCTAGAAATATGCAGACATTCCTCATAAAATCAACACACACACCATAATGTGTAGAGTATTTAGATTGTTTGGCTAACACATCTGGACATGTTCAATTTTAAGCTCAATATAGATATAAAATATATCACAAAACTGCATACTTTTTAAAAGAAAAACTTACTTTTCAAGCACTGAAATGTTTACTAGATTTTATAAAACCACAGAACAAGAACTATATTAAATTAACTAGTTTTGGTGGCACTGTCAGTCTATTGCACTTCTAAACATATTGCACATGTATTTTCACCTTTTCACCTCCGGCATGCATTCATTCAATATTATAACTATATATAAATATACAACTTTGATACAGAGTATTTACACAGGCTAACCATAAAATATACTGTTATTTTTACAAATGTTTAAAACACACAAATCAATGACAGTGAAAACAGTTTATTAAAACTACCAAAATATTATCACTATCATTATAGTAAAATTTCGATAACGAGACCATGATCAGCAGTTAATGGTTTCTGACGGTGTACCAACTTGAGGCTTGATGTTTCTGTGCAAAGAAGTGGAGGAAGGTTAGGGCAAGTCTCTCCAGAATACTCATTCAAATTTATATATATTTTAAGAAAGAAACATTAAGTGCCTATACTCGGTAAAGCTGTCGTTATAACACATCAAGCATCTGATTATATTGTGAAAAATATGACACAGCTTTAAACAGTCATACCTGATATATACCCTGTTGTCATTTCTTTTAATTATTCTCAACATAAAGGGAGATAATCGTCCACAGCAGCCACATATTAAACTCTTATTCTTAGCCATGCCAACAGAAGTAAGATTAACCATTTAAAATGTTTTGGCCCCAACTGCATGTTAATTGTATTGTCATTTTTATTGTCTGTAACTGTATATGGTATACCACATCAGAAGGGGCGTTTATGTTGAAAAAACACATGGAAAATAATACTTGATAAAAATATTTGAAATAATAGAAATATTTACAAATAAATAGAAATGAAAGCATTACTATTATCTCTAACAAGCAATAAATTGTAAACTAGTATATAATAAGGCTTCTGATAAGATATATATTTTATCAAAGGTTATAATAAACATTGGATGTAAACAAAAAGATTTGGCACGTCTTTAAACATTGAAATGTATACACATGTATCTTTCTAATATATTAATTATTTTGATAATCAAGTAAATACTATTTGTTCTAATACTTGGCACGATACTGAATTTTACAATAAATTCTTGCTGATTATGAAGGTCATGTCAATTTGGTGTCAAAACTGTCATACAAAAATCCTTTTTGTGAGTTTGGTATAGTACTATTAAGGAAGTGAAAGTTAACATGAAAAATTGTCATAAACGCATTGGTGCTACAAAAATGGATGACATCATTTGTCAGTTATGCAGAGATAACTGTGGAATTTTGTAAATATTTTTCCTAAAAATAATAAATTAATATGAAAATATTGTTTTTGTTGAAAGTGAAGTAAACAATGCTATTAAAATATTGGTGATACTGATGGACACTTTCCCTACACCTCGTACACACACTATATTTTTGGCTTATACATGTATGTATTGCTATGTTCTAAATATAGATAACAAATATCTACCTCAGCAAGAGCAGTACAATACAACTGATTAAGATGATCGCATTAATCTCACAACAAACAAATTTTCAGCAGGTTATTCACCGTTAAGTGATTTATATTACAGATGTTGAAGACACCAGAATGTGGAAGGCTTTGGTCTGGATGACCTGTACAAACATCTCTTACCCCTAAGACTGATTTGTAAAACCTAGCTAGAAATGGTGAAGTAAAGCTGAAGGGCTGTATAAAGAAAAACTTTATCACAAAGAAATATTAAGTTATTCAGCAATATACAGTTTTAATTTACAGCAAATTTTTTTTGTTTATATTTTGTTCATTGATCAAGCCTTCAGATTTACTTATCAGAAATGTTCAATGAGTATTGTTTTCAGTCAGAAAGTATTTACCGCAAAAAAACAGTGCTATAAATGTAAAGCAGTTTGTGTTATAAATTTTCCAGGAAGTTAATAGCAAAAAACCTACTTCTATTACAGACTGCATTACATTTACAACTGATAAATATGAAAACTTAATTAAGATGGCACCCTTAAGAAAAAATCCTGCAACAGACCATACCAATACAGAAATAATATTTGTCTAATGAAAGTATTTGGATTAAACTGACAAATCATGAAACAGGAATGAAATCTATTCTTGATTTACAAATAAATGTTACAAAAGATATTTCATCTTTGGCTTTCAATCTAGCATTGTGATAAAATTTAAACAGTGAAGTTATTGGTGGTGTTAAAAAATTGTCTGTGAGTTTCATGATTTGACTTGGATTTCCAGAAATAGTTTTGCACTTTGAAAGTCAGCAGATGCACTGTCTCTGAGATTTGGTTCCGAGTGGTATGACTTCTTCATAACGGTCTCCATAAACACCATATCAGCGGATGCACATCTCCTCAGAGAATTCTTCAAACTTTTTAAACGATCTGGGTTTGTTTCAAACATGGCAACAAGTTCATGGAAACTGTGTGGTCGTTCTTGGTCATCTTGCGAATTTGTAGAGCTGGTACGTCTTTTCTTTTTCCGAAGCACAACTTCTGACCTCAGGCTATCGCCGTCGTTAGATGATCCCTTCCGGCTCCCAGATCTTCCATCTAAGATGGAGCGATCTGGACTTGTTGACTTTTGTTTACGTTTTGGATGCAGTGGAGGTTTTGAACCCTGTGATATTTGAGATCCATCATCAGACGTAGCTGATGTCCAAGCAAAGTCGTCCCCCTTTTCCTCCATACTTGTTTCCCTTGTGTAAATCTGTGCAGCCTTTTTCTTTGCTCTGGCTTCATAACGTTGTTTGACCATTTTTGGAGTTTGAATTTTCCCTTGCATGTTATTACTATTTTGTCGCGAAAATATTCTATCTCCGTCAAATAATTCTCGTAAGTCTGGAGCACTGTGAGAATGTGTCAATGTCCTTCGACGCTCGTCCTCACTTGAACTGAAAATCTCCATCATCATTGCAATATTCCTTGCAATTTTTTTTCTTTGCGGACCTTTTGCGTCAAGAGAACTCTCACTTGAGAGAGAATCCTCCCGCATGAGTTCCATCTTTCTTGATTTTATCTTGTCCTTTCTTGGTTCCATGTTAGGGGCATCAGTTTGTGTTTCGATTGTTTTGGTTTCGATGCCCCTCTTCAACATCTCAGCTGGCATCGATTTCCTATGTGTCATGTGGCGCTTTCCTCTTCTGGACAGCATTTTGATGTTCTCAACACTGTATTCACTGGAATCGTCTGAAATGTCCTCCAAAACAGACTTGAACACTTCATCCAAATTAACGTCCGGCTCTGTGATTGGAACAATGTGGTCCTGTTCTTCTGTGTTTGTTTGTGCAGACACTGAGTGCACCGGGTTGTTATGCCATGCTGGTTGTGGAGGGCTAGTTCTAACAAGAGCTGTTGATGGAGATGGAGCTTTTGGTTTAGGTTTTGTACTACTGGCACTTTTCTTTCCTTTACCATTAATACCAACAAGAACGGAGAAAGGCCCAGAGGATGTAGTAAACACCTCAGACTTTTGAACGTCTCTACATCTGTTCGGGATACCCACCTCTTTGGAAGTCAAGCCTTCGATTGCTCTATTAAAACTTGCACTCTCTCCTCCTCCAGAACCTTTTCCAGAATCACGGTATTCTTGCAAGAAGGATTCAATTGTGGCCTCTATTTCTTGTGCATGAGACTGTGGATCTTTTAAGGTTGGGGTTGGAGGCTCTGTTAAATCTTGATCAGTCTCATGATCAACCTCAGCGAGTAAGTTTTGAAATGCCTGAGAGATGTCCTCAAATTCCCGTTGTGTTTCTCTCTCTACCTCTGCTATTGATTCTGCTGAATAATTTGTCCCAAAATCTGAGTCCGATTTGTTTCTCTTTTTAATCTGTGGCCGATATTCAATATGTGTACTGGAAAGGCGTGGTATTGTGTTACCCTTTGTTTCCGTGGTGACCGTAGTAGTAACAGACCTAGGTTGTTCAACGGTATGTAAATTCTTGTAGATTTTGTCAAGCTCTGAAAGTGCCTCTTGCAGTTTAGTTTTCCTTGAGTGATATTCACTTGTAAGTTGAACGGTTGGCTGATGTACCACGGTAGGTTCAACAGTTGGAGCAAAATTTCTCAAGGCGCTTAGTATAGAATCAAGTCTATTCTCGTCACTACACTCAATCCTGCTACGTATCTGACTCAGTCTGTGTTCCACATCTCTCGCCAAGTTTTTCAAATCCTCAACTGTCTGTAAAACTTGTTTCTCTGCGTCGACACTTGGCCGTCTTTGCGTAATGGCAGCTGTAGGTGTTACAGATCCTCTGCCGCTACCACTTCCTTTCCCCTTAAATGAACCTCCACTATCAGAGAGTTCCGCTAACCCGGTATCCAACAGTTTCTCCTTCAAGATCATTGGATCAAGCTGGTAATTTCCATTAATTATAAAGGGATCTGCTGAATATTCTGGAATGAAGTGCATAGCCTGTGCACCCGGCTGCTGTTGCTGTTGTTGTTGTTGTTGTTGTTGCTGTTGGTGTTGAATCATCACCATTGCAGGTTGAGCCTGTTGCTTAGTGATACCTAACTGATTTTGTAGTTCCACCAATCGCTGTGATTGGTAGGTAGGGACGCTGTGAGCAATGCTCTGGACACCAGCTGCCATTGGCTGCTGAGTTTGAATGACCGTTCGTGCTATACTAGTTGTCACGTTCACAGGTTGATATCCAGGGATTTGCTGAACAGGGATTTGCTGAACAGGTTGTATTACTGGCGATCTCAAAGGAGAGAAAAATGGTGACTCTTTTTCTACAGGTGCCGATCTTGTGGTGCCATGTGGAGCAGGTTTACGTTTAAGTGATGTGCGTATGTCCTCCAGGACCTCATCTAAAGCATCTACACTACTCTTTATAACAGGTGCAGCTCCCAATTTTAGAGGTTGTATCTCCGGTGTGCTGAATGATTTTGCTCGGGTAGTGGGCACAGGCAGACTTATGGAGCTGGGTGGCTGACTATACACTGCTGTACTTGTACTTACAACATGTGCATATGATGTGCATTGCATATCTTCATCTGGATTCTGTTTTATATAAGCAATAGACTCAACTGGTCGCGATACATCTGCAACCTCTATTACCTCGCCAGATTTCATGAGTTGGTCAAAGCTGGTCATCTCTTCGATCTGTTTCCAGAATGGGTCCTCAGAGAAGGGGATAGTCTGAAGGGTCCTAGCCTTGACTCGTTCTATACTGACTAGACCTTTAGAGCTCTCTAGATGTGGTGACCATACTTCCTTCTCTTTCACATTTTCTGACAACGTTGGGGATATGTTTTGTAGATTACTTGGACGTTTAGGTTCCTGGCGATCCACTTTGGTTATAGTTTTCTCATCCAGCATTTGTTTATCAGTTACAATTTGTTCCACTGGTTGGGCAAACTGTTTCCTATGAACAACAGGTGTACGTGTGGCTGAAAGGCATTCCTCATATGTATCTGTTCCCTCATTTCCACTTGCATCAGAATCAAATCGCTTTCTTAAATCTTTTACACTATCCTGTTTCAGTTCTTGAAGTTCTGACAATTCCTCCTCATATTTGGACAGCCTAGCTTGTTTCTGCTCCTCAGAGAATGATTTATTCCTACGGGGTGGCCACGCTCTGTTAAAACTGACAGTTGTTTCAGATTTATCTCCCTTTTCAAGCTGTTCCTCAGATATGGCCCGTCGTGCTCTTTTTGTTTCATCCTTTTGAGAATTAGATTTTAATGGAGAGTAAGTTCTACTTTTGAAAGCACTTGGATTCTGGGCGTACGTAACAGAGCTATCACTGGATGTTGTTACTGTGGCACCCCCTGGTTCTTTCACCAAACGGAATACTCGATGGGAATTAGTTTCTGTAGACAAAACTTTTGGGTCTTCAACATCTGGATTAGGAAAACACTCTTGTTGCTGATACTGATGTTGCAATTTTTGTTGCTTTAATTGCTGTTCATACTGTTGCTGAAGCTGTTGTTGTTGCTGAAGTTGTTGTTGCTGCTGAAGCTGTTGTTGCTGAAGCTGTTGTTGTTGCTGAAGCTGTTGTTGCTGATAATGTTGTTGCTGGAGTTGTTTTTGTTGTTGCTCGTACTGAATTTTCTTTTGTTGCTGCTGCATTTGTTGTTGCTGCACTTGTTTCTGCCGTTGCTGCTGCAATTGCTGCAGAAACTGAGGTTTAGGGTTTGGTGCGGGAGCTATGTGTGATGTGGACTTCGTTACTGTGACTGTAACAGAAGAAACAGCTCTACTCGGAGGAGACTGAATCTTCTTGGGTAATGATGCAGATCTGTCTTGAAGATGATCGATTTCTTGCATCATCATTGCCTCTTGAAGCCAAGAATCGGGGATGCCACCCTCTGACTCTAAAATCGTTGTCAGCGATAAGGGTGTTTTTGAATCATCTGCTGGCTTTTTCTTTTTCATGTATTTTTCCCACTTCTTAACTCTTTCTGAAACTTCGATGTCATAATCCACATCAGAAAACATGCCTTGTTCTATTGCCGGCACAGATAGACTCTTGAGCATATCCTGATTTTCTTCACAGTTGTCATACTGTGTTAAGGCTGATGAAGAATTAGCATGGCCCACATATCCTTGCTGGGGAGTTAAATACTGCGGTGCATAACCTGATGGAAATTCTGCTGAATTTAACTGACTATCAGACTTTGACAAATCTTCCATTTCGGCGAGATCAGTTGGTCTCCGCTGTAGATATGGACTGTGTGCCGCTGACTGGTGGCGGCGTTCAATCTTTGGAACAGTATTCTGGAATACATGCGTGTAAACACTACGTGAAGGTGACGGGGAGGTTGATCCAGAAGGCGTGTTTGACAAAGCATCATATTGACTCAAACTAGAAGAACTGCCACTGCCATCACTGACAACAGGAGGCTTCACAGATCGTATCACAGGTCTAGGAGAGTTGGAGGCTGATGGAATTTGAAGTCTTAATTTCATTTCATTCTGAAAAGATGAACTTGAAACTGTGGGACGAGACACATTTTCTGAAGAAGCAGCTTTTCTGTTGGGTTCCTCAGCACCCATTTTCTTTGTTGCTTCCTTAAAAGTTTGCTGGGTTTGCACTGAAGAGGACTGAGGCATCTGTAAGCGTCCACTCTCAATCTCACTCTCCAAATACTGAATATTTGATTCGATAAGCTCATCTAGTGAGTCATCGTCACTGTTAGACTTCCTCTTATTATCCACTCTGTCGATCGCTTTCTTTAAAACCATCGGTCGATTCGAATTAAGATCAGTAAAACTCATCTCAGAGTCACTTCCATCTCCACCCTTCTGCCTCATTCTTTCCGAATTTGGTGGGGTGTTGGAGCTAAACTGATTAATTGTCGTGGAGTAGCGTGTTACTCCACCTTGCGGAAGCTCTCTGTATCGTTTACCACTTGTGTCACCTGATCCATAAGATTCACTTCGATGAAGGGAAACTTTGGGAAAGTCCTCTCTTTTTTGGGTCACATTTCCACCCATGAAATCGGTGTCTTGTTTAGGGATTTTCTTGTATCCCTGAACTACACGTCCTTGGCCTTGAATTGGAATTTGAACCTCACGTCCTGGGTGAACATACCCATGGTAGCTTTCCTTCAAATTAATATCATTGCTATTCCTTGATCCATCAAACCTAGTGTTGGCTCGGTTATTCTCCATTTCCATTTGTCGATAACTGTCATAATTCAAATTTGTCTGCCCCGGTCCTATTGGTCGAAGTGTGATTTGCTCTGATGATGATGATCCATTTTCTGCAGGTTCCTGCTGTAGTCTCTGAGTATTTGTGACTGGAGAAGTGGTAATTTTTGAAATCTGCAATTATGAATGAACATATTGAGAATGTATATGTAAACTACAAAAGTGAGAATTCAAAAGAACAAGTAAAACATTCAGACCCTTCCCATAACTTTAATCAAACATATCAATGACTATCCTTCTGTTATGTTCAAAATAAGTCACAGACCATTATTTTTTTAGCTCAAACCAAACATGCCAAATGTCTGAAGAATCCTGCACCATGGAAATCTTTCTTTTGCTATAGCCAAATATACCAAAATCAATCTGTTGGTAGGCTAGCCCTGTTCGTCCTTTTTGGAGCTATGTTAGGGAATGGGGTAGGTTCTTCACCCTTAAAGTCAATAACTGAGTATATTGGTTCTTTTCCAGTAGGAGGGAGAGATCACCCTTTAAAAACCGTATCACTGAATTCCCTTTACCCAAAATACTAATACAGTAATTGTTTTTCTGGGGGCAGGGGATGAAAGATCCACAAATTATTGTGGTTTTATTGATATGCATAGCTGAAATGGTGTAATACAATGACAATACCCTAACAGTGTACTAATTATACTTTGGCTGAAAGAGGTCTTTTACCAGAACTATCTCTTTCAAACTATGTAAAATTCCATGTAATACTATGGTATATGATAACAAACAGGGCTATATATCAGGGTTTATCGTATTTTCCAAGTTGCATTAACGTATTTTCCAAGTTGCATTGAAATCTTTCATGAATTGTTTCCCTGTCAGACTGATTTACATGCGTCATTAGACCTTTATTTAACTCACTTCAAGGTACTCACCGGTTGCATTGCAGAAATTTGTAGGGTATCAAGATCATCAAGTCGATCTGGGAGTTTTGTTGCCAGTTTTGACCCTTGTAAAGCTCTTTGTCTGAGGCGAGATATTCTCAGTTCTGGAGAATTCAGTTCCTCATCAGAGGTCACTAATATATCAACACGTTTCTTTCGCCTCTCCTCAAGTTTTTGATACTTTGCCTTCTGAGCACCATTGTTTCCAGTTTTGTCTAAGTATTGGACTGCCTCTCTACTGGAGACATGTGGTGACCTACCAGTAATCCGTGAGATTTCACTCTGATTAGTCCGGTTTTCCTTACCACCAAATTCCAATGTTGTGTTCAATGACTTTCGTTTTTCATTTTTTCTCACTTTTTTCACCATTAACGGGTTTTTGACCCAGGTTTTTCTATCCTGATCAGAATCTGTAGCACTAGATGAGCTGCCATGAACATCTGGAAATCCATCATCAGAGAGAGGCTCTGTGTACATTGAATGTCTTGTCATTTGTTTTGAACGCATTTGTCCAGATTTATTGTTTCTTTCCCTCACTTCATGCATTTTCTTTTCATCCATAGAGTTCCTGGGTTTGAGACGACCAGATGGCCCTTCACTACGTGATCTACGTTTAATGGCTGCAGACCTTGACTCCTGAACTGAGGCTGCTTCTTGGCGCCCAGAAGATGCAGCAATTGTGCCCTGGTCCCTCCGACCGACCCGATGAATGCGTCGGTCAGACATGTCTTGATCATTGAGATCCTGAGTCGTAGACTTAAGAGCAAGCTGTGTAGGTGGGGGTGGCCTGGGAGGGGCAGGTCCAGACCCAGGAGTCAGGGAGCTATGGGCCTGGGTCGGGGGTGTCTGGTTGCACTGCTGTAGGAAAGGTGTTTCTGTGACCACTGGTCGAAGCTGAACAGGAAGGTTTGGATGACCAGTGACACCACTTGTAGTTCCAGGTTTACTACTGTTGTGCTGTTTATGATGCCCGAGGCTTCTGAGCTTCTCATCTGCGCTCTGGAAAATATAAAATAAAATGAGATATTAGTGAAGGATATCTGCAACAGTGGAAAGTATGATATGAAATACAATTTAAGTTCTGGTTACCTGTGGAAGTGGAAAGTACACATTACCAATATTGCTAAATATTTACTTCACAACCAATTCTCATCCATCTTCAAAATTAACAAAATCTTGTCCAAGCTGCTTCATCTTTTTGTTGACACATTATTTTGGATTTCAATGACACAAACTCCACTCAGTACAATAGTATTGCTACTTCATACCATTCAATTACCTCCCTAACTGTAAAGTATGGATGATTGTATCCCAAACATTTTCCATGAACTCTTTCACTATGCCTTTTATAATGAATGCACTATTCCATTATTTCAGACTTGTACAGCTGATATTTTTTATCAAATTTTTTGGCTAAATCTTCATGTGGAAAAAAGAAAATTTATCTTGCAATTAATACATTTTTTTTTTCTTTAATATTTTAACCATACATTTTAGTGTAGATTGGTAAAAACCTTTGAACTAAATAACTTACAGACTGGAGCGAAACTCGACTGCTGTGTACCTAAATGTATGTATCTTTAAAATATGTATTCTGTGTGATCTATGTTACCATTTTCTGCAGCTGTCCTACGTGGTGAACACAATGTAACACTGTAGCTATCTAATTATGTACAAGGCACATCGTTTGCATTGTTCGTTCTGGTGCATTTCTGACAGTTTCATAACAATCAACTTCTTTTAAATCAACATTGCTGCAACGATTTCTTTGGTAACATTTTAAAGACCAATCTCACAAATACCATACTGCTACCAATCACTGGTTATCGTATCTTCTGTAATATATTAAGGACTGGAAACATGTAAAGTCTATTGGTCTTTAACTGAAGGACATACAATGTTTATATCTTTATCATCATCATTTCATAGATAAGCAATATTTGTGATACAACAATACTTATTTATCTAAATTGCACAAGAAGAGGCTCAAAATAAAGAACCTGCTTGAAAGACTATGATCCCCGAGTCAGACTTGAAGGATCAATTGGTGCTGTTCAAGGTTGTTATAGCCAAGGAGGTTCTTTTCCACTGGTCGGCTGCCATTGTCAAAAATCCATCACCTTACTTCCAAAGTTCTGTTTCCAAAGTTATAAAGATGTATTTGATAATAAACATCAGACTATATATAGGAAAAAAAGCCTTACACAGAAAATCTTGCAATATACACAGACTCCTTAAGGTTACAAGTTATAGCCTTAACTGCAGCAGTTCCAATAAAAATGGGTTTGCAATTGTTGTAAAATGAATAAAGTTTATATTAAAAATGGGTTCCAGTGTGTGAGGTGTCCAAATAAGAAACTCTCATTTCTAGTGAATCAAAGATCACCATTCAAAAGCAATGGAGATCTCTTCCATAATGTTTATTCCTCTGCAACAACAGCAGATAGCTATAAACAATACAAATTTCTACATTATAGTATCTGCCTCACTCTTAACACCATCAATTGGATTCTTCAGGTTGAGAGCCAGTAGAGATCTCTCTACAAATATAACTGTACCTTCCATAACACCATCAATCAGGTTGAGAGCCAGTAGAGATCTCTCTACAATTATAACTGTACCTTCCATAACACCATCAATTAGGTTGAGAGCCAGTAGAGATCTCTCTACAATTATAACTGTACCTTCTATAACACCATCAGTAGGTACCCCTGAGGTAAAGAGGTAGTGAAGATCTTCCTAAGATAATAACTGCTTCCCTCTTTAACATCATCAGCAGATCCCTGTTCTCTGATAAGTGCCCCTGAGGTAGAGTTCCAGTACAGACCCCTGTTCTCTGATAAGTGCCCCTGAGGTAGAGTTCGAGTAGAGACCCCTGTTCTCTGATAAGTGTCCTTTAGGTAGAGTTCTAGTACAGACCCCTGTTCTCTGATAAGTGCCCCTGAGGTAGAGTTCCAGTACAGACCCCTGTTCTCTGATAAGTGTCCTTTAGGTACAGTTCCAGTACAGACCCCTGTTCTCTGATAAGTGTCCTTTAGGTAGAGTTCCAGTACAGATCCCTGTTCTCTGATAAGTGCCCCTTAGGTAGAGTTCCAGTACAGACCCCTGTTCTCTGATAAGTGCCCCTGAGGTAGAGTTCCAGTACAGACCCCTGTTCTCTGATAAGTGCCCCTGAGGTAGAGTTCTAGTAGAGATCCCTGTTCTCTGATAAGTGCCCCTGAGGTACAGTTCCAGTACAGACCCCTGTTCTCTGATAAGTGCCCCTTAGGTAGAGTTCCAGTAGAGATCCCTGTTCTCTGATAAGTGCCCCTTAGGTAGAGTTCCAGTGGAGACCCCTGTTCTCTGATAAGTGCCCCTAAGGTAGAGTTCCAGTAGAGACCCCTGTTCTCTGATAAGTGCCCCTGAGGTAGAGTTCCAGTACAGACCCCTGTTCTCTGATAAGTGCCCCTTAGGTAGAGTTCTAGTAGAGATCCCTGTTCTCTGATAAGTGCCCCTTAGGTAGAGTTCCAGTAGAGATCCCTGTTCTCTGATAAGTGCCCCTGAGGTACAGTTCCAGTACAGACCCCTGATCTCTGATAAGTGCCCCTTAGGTAGAGTTCCAGTAGAGATCCCTGTTCTCTGATAAGTGCCCCTTAGGTAGAGTTCCAGTAGAGACCCCTGTTCTCTGATAAGTGCCCCTTAGGTAGAGTTCCAGTAGAGACCCCTGTTCTCTGATAAGTGCCCCTGAGGTAGAGTTCCAGTACAGACCCCTGTTCTCTGATAAGTGCCCCTAAGGTAGGTAGAGTTCTAGGTAGAGATCCCTGTTCTCTGATAAGTGCCCCTTAGGTAGAGTTCTAGTAGAGATCCCTGTTTCTGATAAGTGCCCCTTAGGTAGAGTTCCAGTAGAGATCCCTGTTCTCTGATAAGTGCCCCTGAGGTACAGTTCCAGTACAGACCCCTGATCTCTGATAAGTGCCCCTTAGGTAGAGTTCCAGTAGAGATCCCTGTTCTCTGATAAGTGCCCCTTAGGTAGAGTTCCAGTAGAGACCCCTGTTCTCTGATAAGTGCCCCTTAGGTAGAGTTCCAGTAGAGACCCCTGTTCTCTGATAAGTGCCCCTGAGGTAGAGTTCCAGTACAGACCCCTGTTCTCTGACAGGTGCCACTTAGGTAGAGTTCTAGTAGAGATCCCTGTTCTCTGATAAGTGCCCCTTAGGTAGAGTTCCAGTACAGATCCCTGTTCTACCAGTAGAGACCCCCATTCTCTGACAAGTACCCCTTTCAGTAGATTCCAGTAGACATCCCTGTTCTATGATAAATGTATCCTCCATATTAGCACCAGGTTAACACTGTAAGTAGACAATGATTCATACCTACATGCACTGGTACACAGGGCTAGCCCTGTAAACTTTATCTCCATGCATTAAAAACAATCCGATTCCTCTACAGTAGTCTCAACAGATACAGACAGCACATGAATCGTGATTTCAGCTCCAATCCTACACATGATTTCCGTCATTTCTTCCTGATTATGCCAGACGTTATACATGTTGCCTGGTGTTTACAACATCAACATGATGCAGACTATTTCATTTCCTTCCAGTTGGAAAATGTTTCTATGGCTGATTATCTGGGATGGTGGGTTATATACATGGCATGTTAGCTCCATTGGCTGTACATGAGTCAAAATCACAGGAGTTACCTGAAACTCTCTAAATATAGGTCTCTTTTATTACCACTGAAATAGTGTTCCAGTTACCGTAAATTCTCTAAATAATGGTTACCATTTATCATCACTGTAATAATGTTCTTGTTACTGTCAACTCTCTGAATATAGATCTCTTAGTATTTCTGAAATAGTGGTCTAGTTACCATAAACTCTCTAAATAGGAGGTCTCTTTAAATATCCTTGTAACAGTGTTCTGTTACCATGAACTTTTTAAATATAAGGTTTCATTAATTGTCCTTGTGATACCACAAATTCTCAAAATATGAGGTCTCTTTTCATTATCACTGTTATATGATACCTCAATATTTGTTTTTATGAACAAGAACAGTTGTATCATTTCAGATTTGTTGTTGTGTTAGATGATCTGTATTCCAAGATGATGAAACCTTTCATGGTTTACAATTTACGGCATGTATATTTTATCTAAAAGTTTGCACTAGTTTAAAAGGAGGAGATTCAAAATTTGACCTTGAGATTGCACACAGTAAGTGTAAAAATACACAAGGGATACAAATATAGATTGTAAGTGAAGATATCTCCATCAGTTTGGTACAGACTTGTAAGTGTGCCGAAACCTACCTATTCATAGTTGTTTCAGGGTCATCAGAGGTCAGAGAAAGAACACATCTGTCTGTTTTAGTCGGAGATCAAACTCCTGAACCAGAAATATTACCTGATTTCAGTAAATTTCTGTCACATGAATTTACAGGAGTATTTAAAACTTGTCAAACTGTTATATGATTTCCTTCACATGGTAATATAGTGAATTAAAGATTTTTTAGTGAAGTCAATGTTTATGAAGACTTCATACTTTTTCAAGCAATTTAGCACAGAAATAGTTGGTACAATAATGAATATATGATTCATGTATCTGTGAAGCATATGTTACTAACATTCAAGTATTATATACTGTGGAAAACGTTGTATAACCAGCTTATCACTTTGATACTATGGAAATTATATGGAGAGGAGATGGAGAAAAAAAATCAAAGATGATAGAAAGAGAACGATTCAAGATAAGAGAAGAGGATGGAGTATGTACTGGTGATAATAAAATTGGTGGAAATATGGTAGGGGATGAAAGAAAATCAAGTTAGAAAGTTATTGAAATTGATAGTTATTTTAGAGAACAGATTTGAAGAAGGAGGAGGTGGGTGGGTGGGTGGGGGAATCAATGTGGTACAGACAGGAAAAACAACTGTAAGATAAGTTTCTGTAGTGAATGAAATAGAAAAATCTATATTACCATCAGACCTATCACAGATTAAATGAGCAATCAAACAATTGGGTGAAG